TAAAAATTCAAATATATATTTAAAATTATTTTATTCAATTTTAAAAATAATATTTTTTTTATAATATTCCATGAGGGCCTATAATGCACATGGGCCCACCATGTGGCATGTGGGTGGGGGCCCACATGTGTCACAAAAGGGTGGCATGCCCCACCCCCACCCTCTTTGGATTCTCTTGTTTGCTTTTAAGATAATGTTAGTTTGATTTGGGCATGTGGTCAAATCTTGGAAGGGATATATTGACTATGGCTTTATCTATTTTGTAGCAAGTTTGTTTTAAAGAACTATGATCAATTTGAATTGATATGGATCTTATCTTATTTATATTTGATAGTATTTATCTACTTGATATTATTTGACATATCCTTATGGAATATGTGACATAGATCGTGCAATTTTATAAAATGAATGATATTTATTTTATTTAAATATATTGATGGAAAAATGATTTAAGAAAGCGAGATAATGGTTCATGCACCTTCCATAATGTTGATGGCCCATCTGTAAAATAGATGGCTCAAATCTCTCACCCCACACGTCACTCTTGATCAACGGTCTATGTTTAATATTACAAGAAGAAGCAGGCTAAGAAAAACCCTGAGAAACTATGATATTATTCAAAGCCTATAAAAAGGGATTATCTCAACCCAAAAATCTCTACACCTTATCGCTTGTACCTAATTTTCATCTTTCTCTCTCATATCCCAAAAAGAGGGACATGCACTACTCTCTCATGTTTGATCTCTCTCTCGCACATATTGTGAAAGAACCTAAGGGTTTAGGTTATAGAGTTCTTCTCCCCTATCTCTCAAATATGGATTTACGGCTAAGGATTTTAGGGTTTAACAAAAAGAGAATCCATCTCTCTCAAACTAGGTTACTAAGAGAATTCACTTAGGGTTTGAGTTTGTAATCAAAGGGGTTCATGTTCCATTGATGTGGCTTGGTCGAAATTTGATTTTTTGGTTCAAGATTGAAACTAGACAGTTGATCCCAAGCCATTGGATATTGGTGACTCGGTGTAAGGTGTAATAAGCCCAGTTGACATAATATCCAGCACTCTTCCTTTTTGTTTCTTGCAATCTTATCTTTTATTCTCAAACATAATGTATAATTGTTTCAATGACACCAAATTGTTAAGATCTTAGTTTTATTGTTATGTTGATTTTATCTTGAAATTTATCTTATTATAATAAAGACTACATGTAAGTGATCTTTTGCCAAAAGAAAGGGGTGAAAAAAAAATAAAAAAAAATGTATTCCCCAGTAAAAGATCACATAGGTCTTTCTTTCAAACTGCAAGAGCTAGAGGAGTTGAGAAGATCTAAGGAACTTTATTGGAAACAGAGATCCAGGAATAAATAGTTAAAGGATGATGATCTGAACATTAAATATTTTCATGCTATAGCCAGTGCGAGAGGAAGGCAGAATGATATTTCGGGTCTGACCATTCCTAGGTTAGATCCTGAGGATAGTAATGCCATGGCAGAGGGTGTCATCAACCAATTTAAGAAAGCTTCTACTAAATAGGTGGTGATAACTCCAACCTTTTCGAATGTCCCTTTTAAGATGCTGAATGAAGAGCAGAGATGTTCTCTTAAGAGTGAGATTTCTGCCCAATAATTGCGTCATGTGGTTTTGCATTGTCTGGTGATAAGGCACTAGGTCCAAATGACTTTCCCATGCTTTTCTTTCAAAAATTTTGGAGCTTAGTCAAATATGACCTATTGGTGGTTGTGAGAGAGTTCATGACCAATGATCATATTTTAAAGGGTATCAATTCCACCCTCCTTGCTTTGATACCAAAGAAATATGTGATTAATGAGCTCTCAGATATTAAGCCTATAAGTCTGCTTACAAGTGTCTGCAAGATTATTGCAAAGGTTCTTGCAAAACGCCTTAAGGTGGTTCTTCCTTTTCTCATTTCAACTACACAATCAGCTTTTATTCAAGACCGTCAAATAACAAACTCTGTGTTGGTGGCGCAAAAATGTATTCATTCACGAGTTCTGAGTAAGAAAGCAGGCATATTGTTAAAGCTGGATATGGAAAAGGCCTATGATAGGGTGGAATGAGGAGTACTATTAGAGATTTTAAAAAAGATGGGATTTGGAGATCAGTAGAGAAATTGGATTTCTGGTTGCTTATCCTCAACACATTTCTCTATTATTTTAAAGGTAGCCCAATAGGCTATTTTTATGCTACTATAGGTTTACGTCAAGGAGATCCTCTTTTTCCCTTCTTATTTACGACTTATGTTAAATGCATTAGTCTTATGCTAAGCAAGATGGAGAGCGCAGGGGCATTTGAGGGCTTTCAAATCGTAAAGTCAGATGTTTTCGTCTCTCATCTTCAGTATGCGGATGATACTTTAATCTTTATTGATGCTGAGATCTCACAAGTGAGGAATTTCACCAGATTTTTAGAAATTTGTGAAGTGACTTTAGGACTTAAGGTTAACTTTCATAAGTCCTCTATGGTGGGTGTCAACTGTAGTGAGTCAGCTGTGAGTGAGTTGGCCAAAGTAATGGGATGTAGAGTGGATTCATTCCCCATTACTTATTTGGGCCTTTTGATTTCAAATTCAAAATTCCCTATTGTAGTATGGGATTAGGATACTTGAGAGAATTCAAGTCAAGCTTGACTTTTGGAAACACAAGTACCTATCTCTGGGGGCGAAGGGTACCTTTGCTTAGGTCTTGCCTAGCGAATCTACTCGTGTACCAAATGTCCCTAATTCATATGCCAGCATCGATTGCAAAGGGAATTGAGAAGACGATGAGAGACTTCCTTTGAGGATCAAGTGGGGAGAGTATGAAGTTTCATTTATTAAGGTGGGATAGAGTTTGCACACCCAAGGTGGATTGGGTATACAAAAAGTTATGAAGTTTAACCAGGCATGGCTTTGTAAATGGTAGTGGCGGAGTTTACACATGAAGAGTCATCTATGGTATCGAGTTTTATGGACAAAATATGGGACAGACAGACACAACTTGTGGATTGGGGGTGGTAGAGGGAAGGAGGTGTCTTATATGTGGCGGGCTATTTTCAATTGCAGGGCCATGGTCTTGGGATACATTAGATGGAATGTGGCGTGGGCAATCAAATTCTGTTTTAGCATCATAAATGGCTTGGGGAGTACCCATTGAAGTTTGTTTTCCCTGATCTTTTTAGGGTTGTTGCATCTCCTTATTATAAAATTAGTGATGTAGTTGAGAGAAGAGATCAACAATTCATGTGGGACATACCCCAATGGTGCACGCTAATGGAACTCTTGGATAAAGTCTATATTTCTCAAGGGGCAGATGATATAATGGTATGGAAAATTGAAAGGGATTATATGTTTTCAATTAAATCATGCTATAACCTTCTCTTTCACGACCGTTGGAGATGATTGTCCCTCAAAATTGAGCAAATTTGGAAGTGGCCAATACCACATAAAATTCAAGTTTTCATTTGGCTAACTGCGCAAGATAAAATCTTAACAATTGACAATTTGCAAAAACGGGGGAAAATTCTTCCCAATATTTCTCTACTCTACAAATTGGATAGTGAGTCAGTTGACCATCTATTGATCCATTGCTCATATACGTTGAAGATATGACATTGGTTAATTGGTGAAACTGGTTTCTGTTTATCACTGCCCCAAAAAGTGGTTACAAGATTGCAAAAGGAATGACTCCCTGGGAAGTTTGGAGGGAGAGAAACAGAAGGATCTTTGATGGTATAGTGTTGCCCGTAGACTCTCTGGCTTTGGCTAAAGGGGGTGTTTTTCTTTATTCTCTAACTGTTTCTGACGATGCAATTTCCTTTTAATCACTTAATGAAAAATATAAATCTTAGTAAAAAAAAAAAGATTGCATCCTTATATAAACTTTTTCTATCTTCTAACAAATAAAAACGCCCTTATAGAGCTTCTCTCTCATAATATCTGCCTCATAATGTCTCTTGCTATTAACTCATGTGGCATTTGACAGTTGCCTTTAGGTGATATTATTCTTTGACATGATTTATAACAAAAAAGTTTCATCCAAATGATAAATTTCAACATCTATTAATGAGTTAGGTAGTAAATGGTTTAAAGAATGATTTTTAGTCGAAATTTAATGGATGAAAGTGTGTCATAACATTCGAGATAATTTATTTTAGACTTTGTGTTCAAACAATGACACATCATCAGATTATCTGATTTCAAATCTAATGATGATTGTAACCTCTTTGTATAAAAAATAAATAATTTACCATAATAAAATGAGTAATAATCCTATAGAACCCTCCCGTACTCATGTGTGTAGAACCCCATAAGATCACCATTAAAGTTAGTATGAATTTCTAGAAAAGTTATCACATGGGTGTGAGACTTGATTTTTTTAATAGATCCGTGTCAAATTTAATAGTGACCATTTAGGGTCTACACATGGATGGGGGAGGGTCCTATAAGATTATTTTTCTAATAAAATTCTTCAAGTTATACTAAAATTTAATTATGAAAGTAAATGGCCTTTCTAATTATGAAAGTAACTTCTTATTTTTTATTTTTAAAAAGCCCAAAATAAATTTATGAGAATATTTGCCAAAAGTCATTGCCCATTTGACTTGCTATTTCTTATAACATGATGGTATGCCCACCTAGTCTCTAAACAATCAAATTAGAGTTTACTTTCAAATATTGTCGAGAAATATGGTTTTAATATTGAAAATCTTTTTGATAGCCTTAAAATATATTTTCATGTTTGTTTATAAAGTTTGGAGCTTCAAAAATAGTATAGATGGACAGATCTATGAAAATCTTGAAAATTGACGGTCAAAAAATACGATACAAAATACATTATTTTAAAAATTTAAGATCCATTTTTTTCTTACGTCCATACATCTTGATATTAAGATGATTTATTTGAAGATAACAACCGCTTTTAGTTAAATTTTTTATATTGTTTAGAGCCTCGGCTCCATGTAAAAAGAACACTTAAATAATTCGTCTTTAATCAGATGCCGCTAAGCCTATTAATGAGGGATTCTTATGCGATCACGAATAACAAGTCTCTCTCTAGGCTTTTGCAACTCTCTCTCTCTACCATTCTCTATCTCCATTGATTAAAATTGCAGTTCAATCGGACTTGTGACTTTTGGAAGATTAGCATCGATCGGTTGTTGTTTTCCGATGGCTTCTGAGCCATCTTCTCCTATGGTTAGGATCCGCTCTGCAACCAGTTTTTTTCTAATTAATGGTCGCATGTGAAATTTCTAGGGTTTTTTTTTACCATTCGGTTACTTGAACTTGAGCTTTTGCATCATGCTGTGATTTGTTTCCCTTTTTTTTTTCTTGATGAATTTTAGGGGTTTCTCATGGTTAATAGTGTGGGACGGATTTTAGGGTTTTTCTTGGCTAATGGATTTTTAGGTTTCTTACATGGCCTTGCTGTTTAGCATTTATATTACCTTGTTATTGTCAAAAAGATCAACTCTATTTGTCAATTCTATTCTGCTATTCAGATAAAGTTTAGGGTTTTTTAACACCCAAGTAGATTTCTGGGGTACTGTTTCTTGTTTTCGTGTTCTTTTTTGATATCAGAGACGCTTGCTTTCATCCACAGCGGATCTAGGGTTTCGAGAATTGATGATGTACCTGGGGCAATAGAGTGATCCTTCGTCGCACCGGCAAGCCTAATCTCACCTTTTGATCGGGGTTTCTCAGTGGCCTGGTTCATATTCCCTTTCTGGTGCCCTATTATTTTATTTCTTCTCATATCTTTGAGAGATAAAATAAGATTGGATATTCTGCGAAACCATTCTCTTCACCCGAAAAATCTTGCCTTTTGATTTGGATTACTCAGTGCTCTGTAGCATTTTTCTCTCTCATTATGTTTTTTATAGTCATGAAGAGAGAAGGCTACCTTTGAAATTGTAAAAGGAAAATGGAAGCAGATTGGAAGTTATACTAATTTCTTCGTACCCATAAACATTCTGGCCTTTTGCTTGGGATTACCCAGTGGCCTATACCTTTCTGTCTCTTCAGTAAGAAGAATAAGAAGAAGACCTTTGAAAGGGAGAAAGAAGGTTTGAAGTCATGCAAAACTACTTTCTACCTCCAAACAATATTGCTTTTTGATTGGGATACTCAGTGATCTGGTTCATAAACTCTTCCTGATACTCAGAAAATTTTCTCTCTCTGCATGGCAATGAGAGAAAGAGGGTTGGAAGTTATGAGAAACAGGTCTCCTCCCCCAAAAATTAGGGATCAGAGACCTGATTGGTACCCTGAACTTGATTCAAGGAGGCACGATGATACACGTCACCCTGATACTCGTTCACGACGAAGCCTCAGCCCAGATAGAGGAAATGGTAGAAGGATTATGGGTGTCAAACGAAGGAACCCATCCCTTGAAAGGCGTGAATTTAAGAGGATTTTGGATGACAAAAGGGGAGTTCTTAGGCCTCATTCTCCTTTTGATTCGAAAAGGCCATTGGGCCGAGACATCGACGAAAGGCCTCATTTCGATGAAGGTTTTTTTATGAGAGACTCACCATCTCGTGATTTTCGATGCAATTACCTTCTCTCCGAGCCCTCAGCGGTGGGTCCCGAATCGAAACGAGTTGGAAGAGCAGCAATGGCATCGGTTAAGAATAGAGATAAGGAATTTCAGGGAGGTCCTGAAAATGGTTCTGCTCTTGATGGTAAAGCCATGCTAGTTCAGAAGTCCATTACGTTAGATGGCACAATTCGTCCTTTCTTTACCTTACCACCAGAAAATTTCCTGCCTCAGGGGCCAAATTCAAGTAGAATTGGTGGCTTTCCATCGAGTGGTAACTTGGGTTCCAATCAGGATCTTCGATATCGTGACGTGGTGAATGCCCGTGCTAACAAGTTACCGATGAGAGATCCTTACGAAGGAGAAGAGAAGCGAACGTATTTTCGAAGAGATGAACACCCTTATCTACCTCCTCAATCTAAAGCCCTTGGTAGCACATCATCGAGTCTTTCGAAGGACCACTTCTATGGTTCTGTACGAGAGCCTCCATCCAGTGGTTATGGAAGGAGCAGCAAGTTCCCTGACCCCTTAAGTTGTGAACGAAGAGGATCAAGCGATGTTTTTGACGACCCCAATTTAATGGGTTCCAAGGATTTGCGAAAGTACCCAAAGGGACCTCCTCTTAGCCCTCCACCAAGAGACAAAGCTCTAGATTATGGTTTTTCAGAACTTGGAAGGGGAGAGAGATTAGGCTCTGGCTTATCTGGTGGTGTTTTTTATGGTAAGATACATGCAAGCTCTCGTGGTGATTATGGTCACAGGGAACCATTTGGCCAGCACTTTGTGAACCCTATCTCAGAGAGGTTGGATGATGTTGGGGCTTCTCGTAGGAGCTTGAGAGAAAATGCTCTTGGAGACCCCCCATTACCCAGTGATGCTATGGAGCTTATCATTTCTGGAAACACGCACCATCCTGACTATGGGATGCAGCCATCTCGGGATTTCTCAATTAGTCTCCCAAGAGATGACTATTCTTGTAGAAGAGAGCCAGCTCCTTTGAGTTATAGAGAAGGCTTAAAGAGTTCTTCAGTGTCTGAAATTGAAAAAGATGTCTACAGACCCGGCTTGAGTGCACAAAGGAAGTTGCATGAGGAGGATTTGAGTATGGATGTACCACGTGAAAGATTGATTAAGAGGAAATTTGTGGTTGATGAGATGAGTGGGGAGCCACATCTCATGAGAGGTGAGTTTTCTAGTGAGCGTGGTATTGCTAGAAGGACCCATGAATTTGACGTTGAAGATAGGGATGACAAATGGATTGATAGAGCTCAAGGTGGGTTATCGATATCTAAATCTCTAAATATTGATCACCCTCAGTATCGCACATCGAGGTCGTTTAATGAGGTTGCTTCAAATAGGGTTTCTGGCCTGTGGCTACCTCGAGAGAATGAGACTGAACAGGCCAAAGGGGCTGTCTTAGACCGCCTCTCTTATGGAAGAAATTTCTCCTTTAAGAGGCGGTCGAGGCTTAGTCCACAAGATTTCGACCCCTCTTCTCGTTTTAACGATAGTCATGATCATAAGAGGCTATTCAAATTTAGAAAGAGCTATCAAGAAGATGATAGGCATGAAGGAGGGTTGAGCTTGCAAGATGAGGAGCAGCGAGATGACGATATGACACCCCAAATAAAGCCTGAACCACCAGAGCACTCGGAGGAGTTCAAGCAGCTGGTTCATAGGGCCTTCCTGAGGTTTTCGAAAGAATTGAATGAGAATCCAGGACAAAGAAAAAGATACAAAGAGCAAGGGAAGGCTGGTAGCGTACGATGCATCGTATGTGACAGGTGTGTCTTCTTATTCGTGATAGGTTTTTGATAATGGATCCCTTCATTTATCAACATGTTTTGGCTCGGCTCGTTGCTTATATATCATTTCAGTTGACCTCAAAGGTATTAGCATTTTAATTGCATGAGAACTTTACCAGGACGCTTTTGCTGATACTGTGGTAAGTTATTCAACTGTCAAGTGAGCATCAGCTAACATGCTTCAGTTTTCTGCCTGAGCTTTATCATATTATAGGTTGCTTTGTGAGTTTTATATTCATTACAGGTGAACTCTTGGAATGGGTTTGAGAATAAGGGAGATCAGATTGGCAATAATCAAAGTGAATGGAAAATATGAAAGCTGTAAAGCTTATGCATCTACATTGAGCCCTCAATTCCCTTGAAACAGGAGTTTGAGAGATATTGCTGCAGTCAGAAGTCTGTTCTCGGCATTGTTGGATTTTTTGATATCTTAAATGGGATTTTGTGCATAATGTTGGAGAGATGCTGATCCAGTACCTTTTATGGGCATGGTCTTTTTTGTGATGAATTTGGTTAGGACTGAATTTACCATAAAGAAATTTTCATTTGCGGGGCAAATTTTGACCCTTGTCTATGTTTCTTTAGCCTGGCAATAATTTCATCATGTGCAAGTGAGATGGAGATGTTTTATTCTGGTTCCCGCGAGGTTAATTAAATGCCATCTCTGGTCCAATTGGCAGATATATTCCTGCGAAACAAGATTTCATACCTTCTATCATATGGTCTATAGTTGCAGGTGATACAGAGAGATGCTCAAAAGTGAGAACTCATCTCTGTTTTAGTGAATTGTATCCTGTACATTGTCTCTGGTTTCATAATGGAGACTGCTACGATCGACAATAGAAATAATAAATAGTTAGGGTATTAGAATTTCTTATTAGTGGTGAAGGACCGTTTCTGCATATTCTTGTGTTATACCAAGTGACATGAAATTTTGTAACATTTTTGTAACTCAAGTCCCAAGCATTCTTAATATGCTAACCATCCTACTTAACCTTGTTTGTATGGAAATTGATGCATGCTTTACTATTATGTGTTCATTGATCAACTGATGTTGTAAGCAATGGCTTAACTGGTATGTGATTGCACGTATATTGTTGACATATTACACCCTGGTATGGCACCATTATTAATTTTTTGTTTTAAATTTTTTATGAGTGATTCTCGTCATTCATATGTGGCCAAAAAAAGGTTATCATTGTTCATGAAGTCCCGAATAAGTTACATATTTACTAGCAACATAGATGTGATCAATGATTACATGTGCGAATGAAGGAATAAGAGCAGCACAAGATACTCCCTCAGAGATAGAGAAGGGCACATTGATCTATATAACTGATTGCAAGCTAACTAATCATTAAATAGTGAGGAGAGTTGAAAATACTTTATGCAAGGCAATCTTGAGGACTAGAAAGAAAACACTAAGCATTTCACAGAAAACTCTACCTTAAGGTTGTGGACCATCTCTAGGCCATGTGACCCACGTAGCTCAGCTATCTCATTGTTTACCTCTCTCACCTGAAATTGGGGCCCTAGACCACCTCTCTTGGATTTGGTGTTATTTCTAGTTGTAAGTTGTGTGATCATCATCTGTTTATTGATGACAGAATCATCAACTGCTATGCTGGAGCGTTGGCATAACGGGTAGTGTGGTTTAGTTATCATGCTCATTGTTTATTGAATGTTGAGAGTTGTTCTTCATCATGACCCTCCAGCGGTGTGACTTTGAATTGCTATGGTCACCAAAATGATTTTTTATGTACTGCAATATATTCACACATATTTTCCTTTTGTCTGCTGGGCCTATAGGATATACTTTACCAGCATGGGGGTGTTGGCTTTGAGATAGGCAATGACATGATGCAGCTCTCTGGTAGAAAATGAGGCAAAGGTTGATGGCCCGAGTAACCAAATATGGAGGATTCTGGGTTGGGCTTGATTGGTTAAGGTGTTGAGAATTGTACACTGGGTCCCATATTCGGATTGTACTGCTGAACTACTAATAAAAAAAATTTCACAAATGCGGGCAAGGTCAATGGGTAGTTGGCGCCTAGTGTAGAAAAAGGTATTCTTGCAATTACAGTTGTCCCTTTTTCATGGGGATTTACCCATCACAGAGATGCACCGAGGGACAGAACGAACTTCATATATCCCTTTTCCACTCAATCCAGAAACAAGATCGGACGTTATTCCAGTTCGTCTCCCTTTTCGTGAAACTCTTCCTTAAGCAAGGCAGCCAGCCGATAAGTCATCGAAGGCTCTGTTTGAATAATGGAATGGTAAGCATTACTCGTTTGGAAGGTGGCAAGTGCCTAGTGTAGAAAAAGGTATACTTGCAATTTTGGGAGGAGGAAGGCCTCACATTTTGAATGGGGGTTGAGTTACATGGGGTGGAATGATCTGGATCTTAGTTCTCTACCAATTTAGTTGGTCACCTTACCTGCAGCCTTCTGCTCTTCCAGATGAAATGGCTATCTTAATATCCACGCTTAACATAAGTATATAGAGTTGACATTCTTAAAAAAGCATCCATGCTTATTGGGTAGTAGTACTGAGTTTTTATAGTCAATTGATTGTATTTGTTCCTCACTTGCCAAAATCCTGGTATATTGAAGAATCAGGTGCAAAATCACACTTTATATGTTTATACTCCATGAATATACCATACAGAATTGTGCTTCAAATACTGTACGCCTCTCTATCATGTGTGCATGTGTGAGTGGGTCTGTGTTTTTGGAGATGCTTAACCCAACAATCTATTGTATGATCTGCAAAACATTGCAGCCTCTCGAAGGAGTTCTCAGACACGCACAACTTGGTGATGCACACATACAATTCTCAAAAGGTCGGGTTAAAAACCGACCATTTGGGGTTGCACCGAGCTATTTGTGTTCTCATGGGGTGGAACAGTCTTGTGCCACCAGACACTGCTAGGGCTTACCAGAATCTTACAAATGCAGAAGCTTCAGCCCAAAAAGAAGATCTAATTGTGTGGCCACCAGTAGTCGTGATCCATAACAAATCCATTGTAATAAACAAGAATGCAGAAGGCCAGGTGGTTGTATCAGTTGATCGCATGGAGGAGATACTCAGAGGTATGCAAAATCACCAAACCACCCAATTCAGTTGACCATTTCCTGATGAAGCTGCAAAGACGGGCTCTTGTTGGCCACATCAATTTTTTTTCTTTTTGATGTTTTTTGTTGGTCACGTCATTCGGCAATATATTGTTGCCACTTCTATCTTTTTCGAATTTAGGACTTCTTATTCTCCCTTAATATTGGGCTATCTCAGTTGCTTTGTTGTAGATTTGATTCTTTTTATTATTTGTTCCGTTTATTTAGGAACATCAGCTTAAGCCTTTCATGAAAGCGATTCATGAAAACAACTTTCAGTTGGAATCACGTAAATTCACAAATAACTACTCACATGCCATAAACCAATTTAATTGATTTTGTTGGTCATTCACTTGCAATCAACTTCCTTCTGAATCTGTTCTCATTAGCTTTTACTTTTTTATCTCATCTGCCAACCTTGAATTTTTCTGTTCTTCGTACTTTTGAAAAAGAAAGTACCTTATGATTTATTTTTTTTCTGTTATGGGGGGGTTGGGGGTTTGTGGTGTTGGGTGAGAGAGAGAGATCAGTAGTGCCCATAACCTCATGTTTGACTGTATGTATTCTTAGCAGAGATGAGTTTCAATACAGGTAAAGTGAAGGTGTGGAAGGGGAAGCATTTGAGCCTTAGCATTCTTCTCGTCAAATTTCCAGGCACCTTCTCTGGTTTACAAGATGCCGAGAGGCTTCACAAGCATTACTTCGACAAAGGGAGAGGAAGAAAGGAGTGGCAAAACCACCTAAAATTTAAGGCTGAGCCTTCCAAGACTAGTGATTCATCGGAAAAAGAAGATTCGTCTTTGCTCTATGGATACATTGGTTTGGCTGGTGACATTGACAAATTCGACATTGGTACCAAGAAGAGATGTGTTGTCAAGAGCATGAAAGACATTAAAGCCATTGCTGATGCCCCTCTCAAAACCAGAGAGTAATGGGCAAATTGGGTAAGTGAAACTAGGCCAGACAGCTGAGAACACAATTTTAATCTATGTTGGTTTCGGGGTAAATGTGATAAGATTATGCGTCGTGATGATGCTGTTTGGTCTTTTGAATTGATAACTTCGATTACCTTTTCCAATGTTGATGCTGCGGTATATGTTCGTATCTTTTGAGCTATTGCCACTGCTCTATCCCTCTCTCTCCAAATTTTTTAGATTGACGTGAACCATTCCTTGGGGGAGAGAGAGAGATCGCATTATGGGCATTGTCAACTGCTTGTGTGTGTGAGAGAGATTGCAATATGGGCATTGTCAACTGTTTGTGTCTTATCTACTTGTTCCTTTTTTTACAGAGCTTCTGAACGACTGTGTGAATGTGTGCATGCCACAGAGAGAGAGAGAGAGAGAGAGAGAGAGATTCTGGGTAAAAGGTTATGCTTCATTATCATACAACGGATAGTAGATAAAAATCTCACTCATGACATATTGGCATCTTAGTTGCAGGATTTTTCTTCCTCTTCATAAGAATGAGAGAGAGATAAAGAGAGAGAGAGAATCATAATTCCAATAATCTCATCTCGCATCTTAAGTACATGCGTGAAGAGATATCAATCTTGCTTTTCTTGGCCCTGCCATTCAAGAGATATGAATTGAGTTCCTCCTCTTCGGATCGCAAAGAGATATCTACTGACTCGGTTGCTCTTGCATTCTTCTCCTACCGTTCTTTACTCCCTCTTTTCTGCACCCTCAAACACGGAAAAGAAGACCTTGTTTACCAACTAGCCAAGAGAGAGAGACTCATAATTACAATAGATCTTAAACAAGTGGTCATCTGACTCTGCTAAGAGACTGCTCAAAAATAAATAGCAAGCTCTCATCTTTCTTGCTCTGCACAATGTTACATAGCTGGCACTCTTTTCAGTTTATCACCACCTTCCCATCTCACTATCATCCGTATGTTTTACCTCATTTTCACTAGCAATTCAATTTAACAGCCTTCCCATCTCACTATCATCCATATGTTTTACCTCATTTTCACTAGCATTTCAATTTAACAGCTCCCTCCTTAAATTGGATTATCATTCTACCTTCCCTGCTATATTTATGAAGCAAACCAACTTCAGGACAATGACCAACCAGTGAAATCACAGTGGCTAAAATTGTTTCCTCTACCAATTATTCGGAAGCATCATTGTAAGGTATTGATGCACTGATCTTGACATCATGAAACTTGGTTTTCTAGAGAATAACCACTGGAGAACTCAAGTGTCCCAAAACTAGATGGTTTAAACTGTTGATGAATGGGGCTGAGCTTTACCATTGAAAACGCAAAAACACTCGCACCCAATTGCACGCTAGAAATCATCCCACATCAAGAACTTAGTTCTCTTTCCTGTTTCAAGAAACTATTCAAGTATCAGATTTCATGTTTGAGTAAGAAATTTTGAATAAAGACCAAGGACCCAAAAATGTTGTATTAAAAACAAAAACAAGAGGTAAATAATCAAAATAGCAGGGCCCCAAAACCCCCACAACATCTACAACGTCTATTGACTTCTGCAGAAAACTGCAGTAGGTAGCAACAATAAAACAATTAATAAAAAGATAATTATGGGGAAAACAAATAACGACTATATTAGTTGAGAAAAACAGGAGAAGAAAAAAAATTATTCAGGGAAACAGAAGCACACAAAGATGTGGAAAATAGATCACGGACATATGCAGCTAAGGGGTTGAAATGGGGAATAGAGAAAAGATAACAAATCACACATCATTATCATCGTCAAAGCATTTTTCCAACTAATTGGGGTCAGTTAGACATCATTGTTAGCACCTTATCCACAAGTTATTGTGAAAGATTTTTCCATAGGTAATCATGTGGATCATATGGAAGGAAAAAACCTCTTAAACAGAAGGAGGCGGTTAGCATGCGGCCAGCCTGCATATTGTAGAAATGCGGGCTTGGCAATAAATGTATTTTTTAAATATAATTTGATCTCAACGTTTAGAGAATATATAATCTTAAACACGGAGAACATGAATAAAAAAAAAAAACAACTAGATATAATAATTATATTAAGAAAACATTTGGACCGTTAATTACAATTGTTTTTAGATAGACCACCTATTTGCATCTATCTTTAAGATGAATGCTTTATACCTCTGGACCGCATATTGTAGAAATACGATCCAGCCCGCATGAAACAATTGTTCTAAACATAATATAAATGAAATGAATCTTAAGAAAGAGAAGACATCGTGATATTGTTGGTTTTTTACTCTTAAGATCAAGTCTGTGATTTGCCCATCTGAAATTGAGATCAAGACTGTAATTTAATTGTAGGGCAATCTCATACATTGTACCTTCCTGTATAAACCTCCTTTGGATGTATTTCTTATGGACTTCAGAGGGGTACCTCCCAATTTGAGAAACATATGCAACGGTTTTCGAAAACATATTACAAACTCGCAAGTAAACATTTCTTACTAACACAATTAACAAGTCATAAGTTAACTTATGAACACACCGCAGTGATTAGTAACAATGAAGCAGGAAAAGCTTGAAAAATCCAAATCCATATTGGTATAGGTAGATCAAAAGAGAACTCTCAGAAAACCCTTAGGCATAAAACATCTTCCTAATTGTAGTCTGAATTTTAATCTTCCTGTTTGCATCGGTGGGTACTTCAATTTTTTAGGGAACGGGGTGAGACTACAGCTGCAGTTCATTCGAAATCTGCTATTACATTATTTAATGGGTTTATCATGAAACATGGGTTTATGGATCTACCAGTAACATGGGCACATTTTACTTAGTCCAATAACCACTTCTCTTCTCTTATTCTCCCGAAATTGGATCGTTTTCTAGTACGTGGTGAATGGGAAACGGAGAATACCTTAAATGTAGGGTGGCACAATTTTAAAATTCATAAAAAATTGTTGAATGTGAAGCACAAGCTAATTGCCTAGAAAAAGGATACTCGTTATCATGTTAAAGATAAAATTGATTCTAACCGTTTTGTAAATACAATTGTTGGAGCATGAGGCGCAAGATGCCGGTTTTATTTATGACGAACAAGTGGATTCTAAAAATACTCTTGTTGAATTCATTGCATAAATACTTTAGATTGGAGGAAATTTATTGGAGACAAGGATCTCATATAAAATGGCTTAAAAAGGGTGATTGAAATACAAACTTTTCCCATTCAATTGTTAATTCCAGAGAAAGACAGAACGATATTTTTAGTTTATTGTTTCAAGATATTCAAGATGAGGTTTTAGCTGGATGGGAAAATAAGATAGTGAATCATTTTCAAAAAGCCTTTTCAAGTCAATTTAACTTAGGGATTAGAATAGACATTGTTCCTTTTAACAAGTTATCAAAGATTGCTGCGTATAATTCAGGGGTTGATCTTTCTGAAGAAAAATTGAATAAGACAATATTTGTGCAAACATATGATAAAGCTTCAAATCCGGATGGTTTTTCATTAATCTTTTTTTAAAAATTCTAGAGTACACTAAAAAGGGGATCTATTACTGCTAATAGAGATTACGGAGGCGCTAGTGTTTTATTTAAGGTAACGATTTTACATATGTTGCCTTTATCCCAAAAAAGGCTAATTATTTTACAAATTGGAGACAAAAGACCCTTTAGTTTAGTAATCAACATTCACAAGATTATTGCAGAACTTTTGGATGAGAGACTTAAAGAGGTCTTGCTTACGATTATTACGTTCGTCAACCTGCTTTGATTTGGGGCAAGCCAGGACAGTTTTCTTCTTCCTCAAGAATGCGGACAGTTTTCTTCTTTCTCAGGAATGCATGCATTCCTAAGGCAGGCAGAGGGATTAGGGATTGGGTTGTAAAGTTGATATGTTTCCCATCGAGTATCTAGACCTTTCAATTTCATATTCAAAATCATCTTATTCAAGATTATCTTGTATAGCTTGGGATTCTATTATTTATAGATTTTAAGTTTAGCTAGTTTTGTGGAAAGCCAAATTTTTATCTTTATTTCTTATACAATCCCTTTTGAAAAATCTTCCATAATATCAAATGTCACTTTTGGTTTTGCCAATTTCGACGTCTAATTTACTCGAAGAGATGATAAGATATTTCCTTTGGGGTACCTTGGGAGAAAAAAAAATATCATTCAACTAGTTCAAGGAAAGTGTGTACTCCATAGAGGGAAGGGTCTCGGGCATAGTTAGCAATTCGACGGCTAAACGTCGAATTTTTCAAAAAATCGGTCAATTTGTAGAAAACGTTTTAAGCACCATTTTTTTTTTTTTTGAAAAGTTCATAAAAAAAATGTGTATTTTTCATAATACCGTTAAAAACATGAGTTTTTGAAAAACGAATAAAACGGGACCAAAAAAAGTTAGTGAAAAAAGGAAGAGGGTCATGTTTCTCTCTCAACCTCTATGAAAAAAATGGCCTTATCTTAACAGAATTAAAAAACTTTCGATACGAATTGGTGAAAATCCTAAAAGATAAGAATAGCAAAAGTTTTATATAAAATAGATGAAAGCTATACAATGTGGAATTTTGAAAACAATCAAAAAACATAATGCCAAAGTTTTAAAAAGCTAAAACGTAGAAAATATTTACCCTGTAACATTTCGAATCAAGAAACAACAATACTGAAAAAGGATTAAGTGAATAGAAAAAGCAAATAAATGAAGGGTGCTATTCTAACAAGTGCGAGCCTTTTGTACGCATTTATGAGATCTGAAGCATAGCACTCCTTCTTCAACCCTAAAATTGCATAAAAATCACTCTCTTTTTCTACATGGGCTGCCATTTTTGCTTGAAAGAAGCTTTAGAGATCACTTCCTTCCCTCTCAAATCTCAATTAATATATTCCGTGAAGTTCAACGCTTGGTTTCTGCCGAAAAAATGGTAATGTCGATGAATTTTGTAGCAGTTCTCCCATTCTCTCCTCTACGTCTTCTCTTTCTAGAAAGTAAAAACAGAGGACCCAAACCCAAATGCAAGCATGTATAAACCCTAATCACTAACCATAGTTATAAAGTTGTTATATCATGGTTGCAGCATTTGATGATAAAAAAATTGTCTCTTTTTTGGTGTGTACTTAAATAGGTGTGGTATTTGCCAAAGTATTTAATGAGAAAATTTATATGGTGTATTATTTTTTATATGTATTTA